GTAGCAGGAAACTCGCTACCGCGTCCAGCTTCTGCCACGGGGCCAAAAGGCTAGCGTCGACTGCGCGAACGTCATTGATTAAGCCGGAAATAGTTTCATACGGCGTTTGATTATTATTGAACCCTGTCTGTGTGCCGAGGTGATCGTAGGACTCCCCTTCACCTAACGGTCTCATTTCATCCTCCTGAATCATGAAGCGCGTCGGCTGGACTCGCCTCACTGATCTCCCTCTACCGATGTGGAGGGAGGCACATTTGCTTGCATTAAAGGCGAGGCCAGACGAGCGCGCTGCATCCCCCACTCTAGCTAGGAGTGTCCTCATCTCCCCAGGCGTGCCCGCAAGCAGGGCCACGTCATCTGCGTAGACTAAGTTGTTATAGTTTTTATTAAATAATTTGTATCCCACTTCGAGGTCGCATAGCGGGCGTATGACAGCCTCGAAGGTGAGATTAAAAATTATGGGACTTAACGGACAGCCTTGCTTAACGCCAGAGAGGATGGGGACAGGCTCCGTGAGACCGTTTCCCCCCCTGATACGGGTGGCGACCCCCCCATAAAGATTTTGAATTAAATGAATTATTTTAGTGGGTACTTGATGGCGACGGAGTGCGTCAAAAATAGCAGCGTGGGGGACCGATCTAAACGCGTTTGCGAGGTCTAACAAGGCGACGACTAACTCCTTTCCCTTTTTTCTAGCATCCGTCAATACCTCTTGTAAGATGAAGTTATGCTCCACGCACCCCTTAAAAGGGAGAAATCTCTTCTGGGAAGCGCTGATTCTATCATTGTTTCGCGCCCAGCCGGTCAAACGGTAAGCAATTACCGCCGCGAATAGCTTGGCGGTGGTGTTCCCCATCGTTATTGGACGGTAATTGCCCAGGTGGCCCCTGTCTCCCTTTTTGTACAGGAGTACAGTGTTAGACTCCTTCCAGGGGGCAGGGACCGACTCCAGCCTCAAACAGGCGTTGAACATTGTCGTAAGGACGTAGCAACCCGGGTCAGCGACTCTCAGATCGAGATAAGAGAGTCCGTCCGGCCCAGGAGATGAGTTCTTCATTTTCCAGAGCCGGGCCGTGACTTCCTCTCGACTGAGATCAGCGACCAGGGCGCCGTTGGAATCTTCATTTGGAGCCTGTCGCGAGAAGATGTCAGGCAATTCGACCTCACCGGTGTATGCAGCGTGCGGTGCGATACAACCGCTGAAGCCGCGCTGCCTGACGCGTCCTCTCCCGACAGGGAGAAACGCGATGTCGAAACCATCTGGGAAGCAGGAGCAATCTGTTGTCCCGCATTGGCCGGCTGGACGCGTCCAACCCTAGCTGGACCTCCCCTCCGTGGTGGTACTCGAGAGCTGAGGAAAGTAGCCACTCTTCTGGCTGCGATCTCCAGCTCTTCGACGAAGGACACGGACTCGAATCACCTCTTCGCGCTCGGCAGCGAATCGACGCTCGAAGGACGCACGGCGTTGACGGCGCGCCTCCGGACGCCTATTCGCTGCTGCGTTCCGAGGTGACGTCGTCCTCGAGACCGGCCTCCGACTCGTACCCCCCACGGGGGGGAGCTCCTCGCCGGTACTGGCGGATGCCGACGCTCCTCCGTCGTCATCCCTAGCTAAAATCTCGAAAGAATTATTTAAATTTAAATTAGAATTAGAATTATTGAAAATGTCGCCACCCCTATCAGTAGGGGAAAAACCCGTACTAACGGGACTCGCGCGCAAGGATTTGAATTTAATAGATTTCTAAGATCAGTTTCGTCGTCGACATTTATTCTGGAAAAATTTTAACTTTCCGGAGGGGAGGAGTTCGCGGTCCTCTCCCTACCGACCAATCGCCAGTCCCCTTCTCGAACCACCCCCCTCCGCGGGTTTCGTCTCCCAGTCGTGACCGCCTGGGGGGGGGGACATCCCTGGCAGTTGGAGGCGTCTTGTATAAGGGTGGTGATGTTGTTGTCTGTAGCTGTGGTGGTGTCCCTACTGTTTCGTCTATTTCGTGTATTGTTGTTGTTGTGTCGCTTGTGTGTCCCAGTGCAACCCTGTCGTCCCGTCTGGGTGCTTCTGGTATCGTCCTTTTCCTCGTGTGTCTCGTCGTCGACGGTCCCGCTACCGCCGAGGCAGATGACGAAGCAATTGGTGGTGATATGCAAGCCGTCATCCTCACACCCCCGCACGTGGTGGTGGTGGTTGTAGTCGTGGTCATTGTCACAAGGGCGTGGGCAGGAGTGGTTCCCCTAGATGGTGTTCGGGTTGTGGCTTTCCTCCTGCCGGATGCTGCCTCCGCATAGGTGGTGGGTGGAGGTGTCGACATCGCCCTCGTGAACATTCGCGTGCAGGGGATGGAAGGCGGCTCGACGGAGCCGAGACGCTTCCTTAAGTTGATGGTGGAGGTTGAAGGTGGAGGTTTTTTCTTGACCACCTTCCTTGTTGGTGATGGCCTACAATTTCACAGAGTCCGTTTTATTCGTCGATAACAATATTTTCAAGAAACGATAGACAAATATGCTGAAAATTTACGCAAAATGTTGAACAAGTGCAATTATAAAAAGCAAGTAGAAGGAAGATTATGGGACAAATTCCTTAACGGAATCTTCGACGATAATATAAAAAAGTTTTTAAGGAAAACTTCTTACTTATCATTCGATAAGATGGTAGAAAAGGCCATTGAATTTGCAAGAGTTAAAGAAATAAATTTTTACCTAAAACAAGCTCATTCAATAATAAATATTTACAACGAAACGAACGAGGGCAACTTTCATAAATTGTTAAATAAATTTGARTGTGTAGCAAACATGATCGAAGTACCAGATGATAAAGTAATTCTATTCTTCAATAAAATGGTCCATAGAGATGTTCATAAAAATGTCAAGCACGCCTATCCTTTTATCAAATTCCCTGAACTTTCATACGAGGAAATAATAAACCACTATCTTACTTATTTCTCTTCATCCTTTGAAAATTATTTACACAAAAGTCGATTTATATGTCGAAAACAATATGAAAACGAAACGATAGTGAAATATGCTGATTGTTTACAAAAAATATATAATCAATGCAGGTTTATAAGTCGCATGGAAGAAGAATTATGTGAAAAATTCATTAATGGAATCCGCGACGATGATTTAAGAAATTATTTAATTAAAAGTCCTAGCTTATTGTTCGATGAAACGATATTAAAGGCCATTGAATTATCAAAATCTGATTTAATATCGTATTATCTTGTTCCAGCACTTTCAAAGATTAGTTYTTACAATCAAACTATGGAAGGTTTACTTTATGCGTGATTAAATAGATTTGAGTATGTAGCAAATAATATTAAGGAACCATATGATAAGATGGTTTAATTGTTCAATGAAATGGTGGATAATGAAGTATATAGAAGACTCMAGAAGATATTTCTTTCTGTCAACTTCGCTGAACTATCATACAAAGAAATTTTAARCTATTATTTCCGTTATTTCTCTTTATCCAGAGATACTAATTTACACAGAAGTAGATTTATGTGTCGAAAGCAATATGAAGAAGAATCGATAGAAAATTATGCTAACAGTTTACGGAAAATATTCAGCAAGTGTTGTTATGTCGATTACACAGATGAAAGATTACGCGAAAAATTCTGTAAGGAATTCGCGAGTATGAAGTAAGAACTAATTTAAGTAAAGTTTGTGACCTATTATTCAATGCTATAGTAACATTAGCCGTATTTTTGCAAGAGGTAATCAAATTACTAAGTATCTAAATCAAGCTCTTTCAATGATTCATATTTACAATCCGAAAAAAGAAGGTATGTTTTATGAGTGGTTAAATACATTTGAATACGTAACAGATGTTCTCAACGTACCAGATCATAAAATGGTTGAATTCTTCATAAAAATGATAGATAAAGATTTACAAATGAGTGTCAAGATGTCTTTCCCTTGTGTCAACTTCTCTCAACTATCATACGAAATGATAATAAATTATTACCTTCGTTATTTTGCTATGTCTAATAAAACTGACCTACATAGAAAACGATTCAAGTGTCGAGATCAATATAAAAATGAAACGATAGACAAATATGSTAAGAATTTAAAGAAAATATATAATAAATGCGATGACMAAAGCARCCTCGAAGAAGAATTATGTAAAAAATTCCTTAATGAGATCCTCAATAAAAAAATAATAAATATTTTAATTAAAATGCCTGGCTTATCATTCGATGGATTAGTAATAATGGCTATTGCTGTTGAAACTGAAATAAAGTCTCAAAATGGAGTATTAAAGCTTAAATTTTCTACAGGACCTTAAACAGTGATCAAATAAATGAGAATAATAGAACTRTAATACAGTTTAATAYTTCGTCTTTTTYAATWAMCGAAAATAATTACCTAAKTAAAGAATATWACATTACTATTAGATCTTTTTCTACAAGAACAAGTTATTCCACAACAGTAAAATTCTKCTATGAACTATWTMAGAAGAAAAATGTTCAGCTTTAAAACATTACATTAACACAGGTAAACAAATTATGAAGTGAGCAAAAAAGCTGTGTTTCTATCYTTGAACARTATTCTCTCGYACRTTCTCGAAAAAAGTTTAAATATTTYGATTCTGATCTTACACAATTATGGAAATGATGATCTTACAATTATAAAAATATAATTATATTAAAGACATAAAAATTAATTTTAGACATTTAACTTTTTTAAAAATGAGATCTAAACAAAAGGTGATAAAATTTTTATCTGAAGAAAGATATTATTATATATTTCAAACTTTTACTAAGTAAAAATACAATTTATATTATTATTWWATATGTGTGTAAAGACGAGTAAGACAAATCGTTAGAATGTGKGAGAAATAGAGTRTCAGAGTATTAAATGCAAGCCAGAGTAGGAAACCGACCCGATAATCTAAATATSGAATAATCATAGACTTTCATACAGMAAAACATAMATWTCTGTAAYAACTGGTTCCTTTATGTAACTAAACAATCATAAAAATTTTTAGAATTCMYATATTTTGTTCGTCATATATCGTTTCGGWAAACTAACTAGAGAGAAGGAATTAAACATTCATGGAAGRAATCATTATAAGTGTTGTTTTAGAAGCCCAAAATTATAATTATTAGATGTAGAAAGTTCAAACGCTGCTCTGATCATAATTTAATACTTACCAAAATAATATGAGAATATTTATATATGTCACATAGTATTATAAGTTTCTAATATTATATAATTATATAATATTATTAATTATATATTATTATATAATAATATTATAATATCGTCAGAAGAGAGAGAAGAGGATAATGTAGTTGTTTACTTTGATCCCCGTTTAAATGTATAACATTGCAAGTACTATTTATTGTGATAATCGTTAGATACATTATTATCTCTACCAAAGACTAATGTAAAACGCTGAATAAATTTCCCCCACCACTTCAATGTAAAAGCAATACAATTTAAATCGATTAGTCGTTAGGCATACGTTAAACTGTTTGGATATTGATATCATTTTCGTACGTAAATACAAAGATACTTTACGGTTTCTAAGAAAAATCTTTAATATAAATTAACACTTGGATCCATTACTTAAACTTAAACGTAAAAGAAAACAAATAACAGAAATTATAAAACGTATACGTATTTTAAAAAAAAAATCTCGTTTCAAATTTTTTTTTTAAAGGTTATTATTAAAAAAAAATAAAGTTAGAAAAAAAAAACACATTAAATATTATCGATTTTCGTGCAAAAAGGAATGCAAAGTGTTTTTAATTAAAAAAAAAAAAAACAATGGAAATCGAAGCTATTTTACGCGAAGATGATCAAGTAATTGCTTATCTAAATGAATCTATTCGAATGATATACTATAACGAACAAAATGAAAAAAAGATTTTTTGGTGGTGGTTGAATAAATTTGAGTATATAGCAAGTATAACTGAGGTACCAGACAATAAAATGGCTGAATTATTCATGGAAATGGTGCATGTAAATATCCACAAGCGTGTCCAGAGAAAATTCCCTGCTGTCGACTTCACCGAACTGTCATACAAAGACATAGTAAGCCATTACATTTGTTACTTTAATTACTCCGATGAAATTCTTTCGCACAGAAAACCTTTCCAGGATCGAAACCATTATGAACAAGAAGCCATAATAAAATATGCTAATATTTTACTGAATATGAGCAATAGTGATTTTTATAGAAGTCGACTGGAAAGAAAAATAGTTAAACAATATTGTAATAAATTCAACGACATGGAACTAACAAAATATTTCAAAGAAATTCCTGACATATCATTGCGTCGCAAAGCAGGTATTAAATTTGCAAAAGATATTGAACTAGCTTGTTATATGAATCCAGCTTTTTCAATGATAAAAATTTACAACTCAAAGAATACAGGAAATTTTCATGATTGGTTACATAAATTTGAGTATGTAGCAAGTATAACCAATGTACCAGACGATACAATATTGGAATTTTTCAATAATATGGTCGACAATGATGACCATTCGGCCGTAGAATTGGCCTATCCTGAAATCAAAGTATCTGAACTTTCATACGAGAAGATAATAAATTTGTACCTTGAGCATTTTGATCCTTCCCATGATTTACATAAAACGCGTCTTCTTTGCCGTATACAATATAAACATGAAACGATTGAAAGTTATGCTAATAGTTTACGAAAATTATCTATAAAGTGCTCTCATATAAGTGAACTAAATAAAATACTACGCGAACATTTTCTTAATGGAATACGCGACGATGAAATACGTATCGTTTTAAACAAATTTACCCGTTTATCATTTGACGAAATGGTAGAATTCGCCATTGAATTAACAAAAATAAAAACAATGACTACTTATCTAAAACCAGCTGTTTCAACGTTGAGAACTTACAATGATATTACGGAAGGTGAATTTTATGAGTGGATAAATAAATTTGAATACGTAGCAGATATTATCGAGGTACCAAGCAATAAAATCCATGATTTTTTCAAAAACATGGTGCATAGTGATATTCATGCTTTAGTCAAAGACCCTTACCCTAGAATCAAGTTTTCATACGAACTGATAGTAAACCGTTACCTTCGTTGTTTATATGAAAAAAATGAATTGACTTCACACAGAGAACGTTTCATGTGTCGTAGACAATATGAACATGAAACATTACAACATTTTGCTAATAGTTTGTGGAGAATACAACATTATTGCCAATATAAAGATAACTTCGACGAAAGAATACGCGAAAAATTTCGTCATGGAATCAACGACGAGAATATAAAATCTTATATAGATAAATATCCTGACTTATCATTCGATGTAATGG